ATGTATAAAAATGTAAAGAGAAGACATTCTATGGCTGTTTCAGATATTCTTCCTTTTGTTCTTAGTCCTCTACGTCTCAAGTTACGCGTTAATCGCGAAATTTCGACGAAGAGACCGTGAAGATTATTTTTCCGTGGATGAAGATGAAGCGACGGTCTACAAGATCAGTCTTTGGTTATGTACCGTTGCCCTGGCGGTTTCCGTTGGAGCAACCTTGCTGCTTCCGGTTTCAATTGCAAGCAACGAAGTGCTGATTTTGTATCCGAACAGCTATTATGTCAAGTGGCTCAATAGTTCACTTATTCAAGGTATACGAGTCAGTTATAAAAATTAAACTTCTTGTTTCGTTTAATTAATTTTTCAAACTTTTGGAAAACATAGAGGGAATTTTTTTTTTTTAATATTTCAACATTGCATAATATTACAAATTAATGTTTTACAGAAATACAGGATACTCGTCTAATGTTAATGAGCAATATTTATAATATCAATATATTTATTTATATTTATTTTTTATTGACTGTACATGTATATTATTATTATTATCATTGATTATGTTCATATCGTATGATTGTTTTATACTTTTTCTGAAATGTTACGTGTATTTTGTTTTTTTAATATTTAAATAACTAAAAAAAAAAAGAAACATTTTTTATGTAAAATAATTGTAATTGGGTTTTATTTAACAATCAGGTCTATGGAATCTTGTGTTTCTCTTTTCAAATTTATCTCTCTTCGTATTTTTACCGTTCGCATACTTGTTCACGGAGTCAGAAGGATTTGTTGGCTACAAAAAGGTAAGATAAAAAAATTAATCCTGATATATCGAATGCTTTTAAAAAAAAATAATTTTTCCATTGCAGGGCGTAATGGCTAGAGTTTATGAAACTGTGACAGTCCTTTGTCTATTAGGAACACTTGTGTTAGGAATGACATATGTTCTATCAGCACTCATAGATCGTAAAAAATCAAGTCTTCATACGTTGCTCAGTAAGTACAAAATTTGTTAAGACATAGATATACAAAAATTATCATCAACTTAACTTTCCAGATTTATCGAGTTACTATTTACCTTTTCTTTATTCTTGCGTTTCTTTTGTTGGAGTTGTTATGTTATTGCGTAAGTATGACCAAATAATTACGTATATATATATATATATATATATATATATATATCATTATTACCTATATCAAAGTAATACAATAGTAAAAGTATAATTTGCAGTATGTACACCAATGGGATTTGTACGATTATTCGGAGTAGTTGGTTCGTTTCTCGTAAAACCGCAGTTCCTAAAGAATTTAGATGAAGAATTCTTCGCGTACAGGTTAGAGGAAGATTGTATTCGTAGAAGGTGAGGTATCGGTTTCTACTCCCATCACCCGCAAATTCATGAACACGTCTATAATCATTTCATAAAAACTTTATTATATACACAGACTGCAACACGCGAAAGCAACCGGAAAATCATACGTTTCGCCAGTGCCTATGTCAATACCAACTTGTGGTTTAGTGCTCGAAGATGACGAGTTTCTTAATGTAAATCCGAGCTTGATGTGCTTAAGGAACGGTGCTCTCCAGCGAGGATTGGCTCAGCGTTTGGAAGATATTCAGAAACATAGAAGTATTTTGGATCAGCAAAGGCGAACGTGGTGGGTTCGAAGGACTTTGTTATACCCTTTGGCAATGCTGGCGTTACTTATACTTTCCACTGCTACAGCTTTGCTAGCAGTTCAAAATACCTTAGAACTGCTTATTGGTATTAAAGCACTGCCTTTGAGTACAAGGGTTAGTATATAAATTAGATATAAATTAAAATAAGCGAACTTCGTTTATTGAATTGCTTTTTGAGAAAAATTGATACATTTAATAAATGTTTAGCAATTCACTCTGGGGATCAGCTCGTTGTCGAAACTAGGTCCCATTGGAGCAACAATTGAAGTAGCAGTAATTTTGTATCTAGCTGCTACGAGCGCAATAGGTTTATATACACTTCCTGGTGTAAAGAGCTTTCGACCACGACTTCATTCCATGCCACTTACTCACCTTATCGCAAATTGCGGTCTTCTTCTTGTACTGAGTTCAGCGTTGCCACTGTTATCTCGAATATTAGGTAAACATACCCCCCATTTAATAAGTGAAAACCACACCGGAAAAATATGATAACTCAGTTAATTAGTTTACATATAATTAATCTCATTAACACTTTTTTAATATTTAAGAAAGTGACAAAAGTATATATTTAATCCTAAAAATTATTTTCTTTTAAAAGATGAGAAATGTGACTCATTGTGTTTTTCACCTCCGGCCTTCAAATAGGAACGAACCCAAATAAATAAGCTTATTATTAATTTTGTATTGGTTTTCTACTGTTCGTGTATCTTTTATTTCAGGTATGACAAACTTTGATCTGCTCGGCGATTTCGGTCGCATCGAATGGCTTGGTAACTTTGAACTAGTACTGTTCTATAATTTAATCTTCGCTACGGCGGCGATTGGTTGTCTAGTGACAAAGTTTACAGCGACCGTTCGCAAAGAGATTTATGCCAGATTAAGGAGTAGTTTGATAGGAATCTTTCAGAGTGAAGGTAAGAAAAGTTCTTTAGGGACGTTTTCTACGAAAGAAGATTAGACTGACTTACGTTGTAAGCAGAAAAAAGCAAATATTATACGTTAAAAAAAAGCAAGCGAAATAGAACTTAACGATGAATAATTATATTCACATAATATTAATCATATAAATGTGTAAAGTGATTGAACCGTGTGTATGTGTGCGTAAGTATATTTAGAATTGCGTAATCGTGGAACACTGTCTTAATTTTGATGGCACGTGATGCTCTGTAGGATATGTTTAGAAAATTTAATTGGATGATATTAGAGCGGCGGGCCAATTACACACGTCGAGTATGTTCGTCACATGTATGTATATGTGTATGTGTACGTATAGTTACTTTAATTATTTATATGATCACTATTTTAATAATTATTTACCGAAAGTACATATACATACCAATCTTATACATAAGTGGGTTTACCTAGAATGTAAACTCAATGTAAAGACAACGCAGTATTGTGATAAAGACACGCATGTGCGGGTGTTCGGCGAATAAAAAAATTCTCAATATAGAATTTTTTACTATTTTACTATTTCTGCGAATGAAAGAAAAGCGTTAAGATTCGTTTTCCTAAATAATGGTTATTGTTTGAATGTGTATCTACTTCAAGACACGAATGCGTTAGTTAAGCATAAGTGAACGTTATGAATACATTTTTAGAAATTTAAATGATAAGTTCTCATTCTTCAAATAGAAAAATGCCGTATATACAGGCCATTAAACGTGCCTAATCGATCGATATAACCGGATAATACGTATAAGAAATACAATCACGCGTATATTGTACTGTGTTGTGGTAGTCCTGATTTCATAATCGCGTTTGAATGCATTTTATCGATTTATATTTGTCAAGTGACTTGTATAGTCACGAGTTTGTTAAAAATTTACGAATTTAAATACATTTGTAACGAATGTAATAATATGCATTTTAAGATACACACGAACTGCATGGATGATAATATGCAGAATATCTTAAAATGTTATCATCTTGACTGATTTGTCCATTAGTTCATTACTGAAATCTAGTGCTTTAAAAAGGAAGTAAATTATTTATTTAATTTAAAATGAAAATGAACCCATTCTTATCTCTTGATTGCGTTTAACATTTAATATGCGAAAGAAACAATACCTTACAACAATATTATGTGATATATATCTTGTCAAAGAGACAATACAATATTATTAAGAAACAGAAAACAGTTAGGATATACTCGCTGACGAATTATTAACACGTTTAATCAGAACAGTATCTCAGGATATAAAATACTGCTTAATACTTGTTAATATATTGCCACATATATTGTGGATTTGTTTATAAGATTGGAATTCTCGATTTGAGGATTCTTTGTATACATTAATAGCTACGTAAATAAAAAAAAAACGAAGGAGGAAACTTTAACATACTTCAGATACAAGAGAATATTTCTTTTATTTTTTTGAATATGAAGGATAAAAAACTGAAGTTTGAATTCCTAGTACATCATTATTCTTAAGAAGCATGCACATAACACTCATTGAATATAATACTACATGATTAGACTTTACAAGAAATAAAGTATAACATCTATATTATCCATTATTTTATTTTTTACTTAATACTTAAGTGCTCATCCTTAATTTTGTTACATTATTCATCATTTTAAATATATAAAAATCAAAATATATTTTTTTATATTTCATATCTTATATTTATACCTATAGGTAACATTAACCGTTTGTCACAGAGGTCTTTGAAAAAACAGGGTCGAAAAATCCCGAACAGCGCGATAGCGCTTGTCTTAATCGATTGCGAAGAGAAACCAATAGCTCTCGTCATATTTGTTATTTTTATGAAATACATTTATATTATAATATATATATACTATTAGTTTATAAATATTTCAAGTTTGAAACTCAAATGGTTAAGATCACACAATGATAGATTTAATTGGAAATATATTGTCTATTGTATCTTTTTAACATATTTACAGCATAGATTGCCCCAATTCCATGACGAATAATTTTGTAACATCCCGGTTCGGTTAAATCAATAATTGTTGATCCACGTCTCAAACAGTCATGCATTTTACCAAGTTTTTTAGATTGATGAAATATTCCACCTAATTTGTTCCATAAGTTTTCAAATTCCGAAGCATATACACAACTGGGTTCATTACTTATATTAGCACTTGTTAACGCTAAAGGTCCTGCTACTTCAGCTACATGCCTTATAAATTTATGATTTGGAACTCTGATGCCTACCGTGTCATGATTAGGATTCAGAGCAGGATTTAAAGCAGGAGTTCGTTTGAGAATGATGGTATATGGTCCTGGTAATAAACAAGATAACAAACTAATTGGTATATGATCTACAATGCCCCATGTTTGCATATCTTTCAAGTTACTAACACAAATAGATAATGGCTTATCTACTTCGCGTTCTTTAATTTCATAGAGTTTTTCAATGGCACTGGTGCTTGATACAAGACAAGCAAGACCATATATTGTATCCGTTGGAACAGCTATAATTTCATTTTTCTGTAATAATGCGACAGCTACTGCTATGGTTCGGTTTCCTTTGCACATCCAATGATTACCATGCCATTTTAGTGCTTCCACTTCTTCATGAGCTGAATTTATTAAAGTAGTCATTGGACCCATTTCTTTTGCATACGAAATCATTCTCTTTCCGCCCAGTAAGAAATAGCACTGTATGTTCAAAATGGAAAATTTATTAATTAGTGATAGCAGTGTCTGTTCTAGAGCTAATGATACACAAATACAATGGATTACAAAAATATTTGGACACTGTAGAAAACTTTTATGTATATGATTATATGTATGTAGAGGTTATAAAATACCTTTACTCGCGCCAGTTGTGACCACATTGAGGATTGCAACATTTGTAAAATGTTGTCATAGGCTCGTCGGCAGATCTGGTTTGAATTTGCATGAAATATGCTCTAGGATTAGAGCACTTTGGACATCTTTCTTCAGTAGAGTCGACGTTCTCCCAAGCTGCGCTTCCACCTAATACATCATCAACCTCCTTTAATTTTGGATACGTACGACTGCTCACTCTTCTCACGATATTGAATATGTATGGACACGTGTTACACGCGAAACGCAATCCTGCCACAGCTTCTTCTACTCGGAGCACATTGCCACACGTTGGGCAAAACATTAACATCGTGCAAATACAGATCCAGCTGAATCATTAGAAGAGCAAACTATATTTTTCGTTGATTATTTATCTATAAATTTATGGGAATAAAACATATAACATGAAATAATGAATTCACTAAAACATATTTTCATAATACTACTTAGAAAATAAATTGTTTTACTGTTCTTTATAGGCTCTTCTCCGGTCCAAATCATATTTACGCCATTACCAAACACACTCTGTATAGATTCACAAAGGATATAACCTAACAAACACGAAGATGGTATCCCGCTGAGGGTAGCCACCCACATGATAATCAAACAGCCAAAAAATTCTACCAAATGTCCAAATCGGACAAATTGTGAATGTAAACAACTAAATAAAAAAAAAAAATAAAAAAACTCTGTATAGATATTAGAACAACTATCTATGTATAATGATCAATTGCTTAATTACTATAGATAGTTGTATTTATTTTGCATAGTGGTTTCCCATATGACAGGAACGATAATTAATACTTAATTTATAATTTAAAAATATATTTTACATACATACAGATTGTACTATGGTAGTGTTGGAATTCACATATAATCACATGTGTATACGCCTTGTGCGTTGCGACGATGAAGTTGGGTCGTTTTTGCAAATCTTTTCTTAAAGTAGTTGATTATTAATAAATTATAAAGAAATTGTTTTAGATTTTAAGTAACTTTATATACTTGTTTATGTGAGTGATGATTTTAATATATGTTAAATATTATTAACAAAATATTTAATATACATAAATAACTTGTGAAAAGGTAACAGAACAGAAAGAAGTGTTTTATTTACAACTACATTCGATAAATTAGGATAATTTACACAAAAGGGCATGAAATTATTCTCTGCTCTATGATAATTATTTTTTGTGTGTACGAATAAATCTCAAAATTGTTTTGGTAAACAAATATATAAGATAATTAGGTTATAAAATATATAATCTCTCTTTACTATTTCTGTATTTTCAGTCATGAATGATTGATTCATTGTTTAAATGATTAACTATTAAAACGAATAAAATAAAGTCACGACCTTAATAATATATGTGGCGCCGTCTTGAGAATAATAAACTAGTTGTGTGAAATTTTTATCACATATATATTTCAACATGTTTCAACGGTATGCACGTAACCTATTTTAACCGGTATTATTAAAAAATGTTGGTTTTCATGGATTAATGTAATTACGATTTTCTTTTGCCATTATAATTTTTAATATAATTTCTTTTATGTGTATTTCAGTTATAAAAATCTATGCTTAACATCAATCATACGATCAAGATATAAAAGTATATTATCAAAAGTTGAAGCGAAAGAGAGAAGAAATTTGTTATTTGAAGAGGAGAAGAAAAGACAAAGAAGCACTGTGGGACGAATTGAAAAGATAGAAGTTAAATATAAATCCCCTGTAGAAGACATAACACTTATTATGAACAAAAGTATATCAACCCCCACAGATTGTGCAAAACATATCTCTGAAGGTGTATCTAACGTATCTGCTCTTGCTATGGTTGATGGGTTACCGTGGGATATGAACAGACCTTTATTACAAAATTGTGAATTAAAGCTTTTAAATTTGCTTAGCCCAGAAAACAAAATAGTAAACGCAGCCTTTTGGCGAACTTGTTCTTTTATTTTGGGTGCTGTTATAGATATGGTCTTTAAGCCAGAGATAACAGTTCACTTACACAGCTTCCCAATACCAGTCATAAAATCAGGTAGTTTTATATATGATGTGTATATTGATTTGGTTGATTGGAAGCCTACAAACGAAGAAATGCATGCATTATCTGCTCAATATGTAAAGCTGATAAACAAGGAATTGCCTATAGATAGGATAGAGATTTCAGAAAGTTTAGCACTTGACATGTTCCAAGATAACCCTATTAAAATATCACAAATACCAGAAATTGCAAACAGTAACAATAATAAAATTACTTTGTATAGAATCGGTGATCATATAGATATTAGTAAAGGACCTATGATAGGAAACAGTTCATTGATAGGACGTTGTACAATTGCTGCTGTCCACCAAGTTTCAAACCAGGAAAATCTGTATAGATTTCAAGGTGTAGCACTTCCTAAAGGAATTCTTTTAAACCAATATGCGTATGGCATGTTGCAGAATCGCGCTAAAAAATTGAACACTACAACATGGTCGTTCTTATCGGAGGAAAATAACGAGGAGGCGGATACCGAAATGGTTCATAGGAACTAACCTTCTTAGTACACCAAATATATAGTGTAAATAAAAATGCATACTTTCGGTACGAATCTTCGTAATTGCAATAAAACACATTTGTACAAATATTAATCATTCACATATATGTAAAGTACTTTATTATACCTCTTATCAATACCTACTATTAAATGTTATAGTTGTATATATATACGAGTATATAGCTAGTGCGTTAAAAATTAGTATAAGACGTATAATTGTATAGTATTAATGTATATATATGTGTATATACACGTTTGTGTATGTATACAGTTGTACGTGTTTATGCGTATGTATGTTTACAGTACTTCATAGTACTAATAATACTTTAATGTACAAATTGTGATAATTCACCAATTTTAACATACCCTTGGTAGAAGAAGTGTACATACATAAGTAGTGAGGTCATAAAAATAGTCAAGCTTGAACATACATTAATTTTGAATATCAAAATAGAAATTTCTAAGGAATAAAAAATCTAAGAGAGTTAATAGAATAGTATAATATAAATAGTTAATATAAGGGTATTAATAGAATAATAGAAAATCTAAAGGGGGGATATGAAACTTAAATTAGCAACATAAGCTTATTAGGAGTATAAAATATCAAATTAAACATATGTAGCTTTTTCTTTACAGCTATAAGTTAATGTTGATTAATATAATTATTATTGTGAAGTAGAAATAATTACGGATCATTAATACAATGTAATTTTAATGCAAGGTTGTAGACAAAAATTTTAAATCAATCTATAAGTAATGTTTGTAATCTGAAATTTGGGAATTTCTATTTTAAGACTTTCTCAGACTAATTATGTATCTACATTCAGCCTAAACGTATACAGTCCTATATATCATATCTATTGATAGATCAATCGATATGCTTATTTAATTAGTGACCTCAACTTATGTTTTAATTTATGATTTCACTATACATCTTCCACCATAAGTACACGTCGTGGACTATGCAATTCCCACACAAAATTACCAGGTAATCTATTAGCTATCGATGCTGGACACGTGACGTTCATTTGCAAGTAAAGTTGCTGATTCCTGCACACTTTCATCTCGTAAGTTTCGAACTCGTCCGATCTTAATATCGATCTAACAGCAAGTGGAGCCAGGTCTGGCGTGCATTTCAGTTCGACTTCGATTATTAAATCGAAAGACGGTGGCCTCTGGACTTGTTGTTCCGTTTCAACTGTCAAATTCGTCGTGCTTACTGTCTGCATGAATTTGCTCTCATAAGCGTATTTGTTCATATTTCCATAGTAAAAGAAACGTCCACCATATTCTCCGTATCCTGAGTAAGTGGAAGCTGGCGGAGGTCTCAACGGGAGTGTCAAAGGAACCTATAAAGAAAGAAACATGGTTAGAGTTATTTATTGATAGTTACAATGTGAATAGTATAATCAATAATGAATATTAGTAATCTATATGTTACTACTTGTTACTACAAATTTGGTATTGACCGGTAAAAGGAGTGCCATTTTTCAATACGAAAGACAAACCTTAATTTATTGATAGAAAATAGGTAAAAATTATTCAATATTTACCAAGTATTTATCTTATCTTATTTACATTAGAATTTTTGGAAAACATTTTTTCATAACAATAAAGTGAATACTCCAATAATTCGTAAAAACTACTTCAATTTATTGTTAAGAAAGATAATTTTTTAAGAGATTGACCATGAATCTATCAATATAATGTTATAATGTACAAATATTGTTGCTGAAGGAAATTGTTTGTATATATGTTGTTTTATTTTTTTGTATATGTAAACGTCACCTGTAAGAGTAATTCGTGTTCGTAATGTGAGTTCTCGAAGAGGTGTTCGTTCACACTGCCTACTAGACGTCGTAATCGAAGATACATGAAACGTTGTTCGTCTCTCCAAGAATTCTCTTCAGCCTTTTTGGAAACATCTAGACTGGTGAACCAAGCGCGTTTCATTGTGTATTTCAATTTCATGCTGACAATTCTCCCGGTATCTCGTTTGTTACTCAATACTTTGAAAAAGAGTACTTGTCGACCTTCCACGAGACAGTCCAGAACGTCTACGATCTTGCATCCGGAAATCAGGGCCGATCTACTAATATTATTTTATCACGTGACATTTTAACACGTAAATATATATTTATTCTAAAAGATAATGTACATTAAAAAAATTGTTATATTTAAAAAAATCTAGACATATATTAAATGAAATAGAGAGAAGCTTTCACTGAAATTAATAACAAAAATAACAAATTTTTCAAGAAATCACTCGTATAGTTATAGATGATAAAGGTCAAATTTTAGTTAAATTTTTCTTAACTTTCCCTACAAATTTTTTCCATAACTTAATATATTACAAATGGACTGCCGAATTTAATGCATTTACGGGTGAATTTAAAGCTGCAAATATATACAAAATGCATGTAATATGCAAAAATATATAAAATGTCTAGAGTACAGTACTCTCTATGATATTTAGTATTAATACTAGATTCAATTTTCCTAATTATCTTCATAAAAATATTGCACAAATATCCTCAGTCTAATCGTCATTTTTATAATAGGTACCCTTTTACAAAGCGATTCACCTGTTCACCCTGCGTTCAGAGACTTTTTCAAAGAAGTTCATGAACCGTTTGCAGATGGCTATAAAAGAAGAGATAGTCGATTCTGCTGTACGAGGACCGATGATGGACGAATGATACTTTGAAATTTGACTAAGTAGCTCGTTCAGGTTGTCGAGCAGACTACCAGCGTAGAAACAAAGCCTTGGAAATTTTTGTTGCTTCGTTGGAGGATGTGTATACCTCCAAGTGACTGCTCGTAGCATTTTGTACTGTGCTTTAATCAGCTCTAGAGCGTCTAAAGCTTTGCTACAGGCAAATAATTCGGCGTCCGTTTTTGTAGTTTTCATGACGTTCTCGTTGCGCTTTATTATACCATCCACCTTCGCGCAAGCCATCAGAAAGGCGCCATTTAAAACTGCTGCTGCAACCGTTGAGCAGTGTCTAATACAGACAAAAGTGAGTTTGAGTTATTTCCCTTTAATAAAATAATGGATACAATTATCTTTTTTCTTTTGAGAATTTTAGAAGTTAGATTTTTTATTCTTCACGTTCATATCTCCTTAGATATCTCCTCTTTTTTTGGAATATTTTATTCATAAAAAGCATGGAATATACAAAAGGTGAGAGTCGTAATTATTATTTTTAACATTATATGTTATTAATCTTAAAAACATGAGATGACATATTTTATAAAAATTTTTCTTCTGGATAATGATGCAGATAATAAAAATCTAAAATTAAAGGAGACATCGATACAAACAGTGGTATTTAAAAAATTACCTAGAAACTAAACGAACGGAAGTAGCAACATCATGAAGAGGCAGTAACCGAAGAATCATCTCCAAAACTTCCGGCGGAAGCGTGTCCAATGCATAGCCATGACAACTTTGTTCTGCTAACGGGGATATTTCTGATTCTTTCCGCGATCCCTGATATTGATCGCAGCTTATAATTGGTATTTTCGGTCGCTTGTTCGCGTTCATTTAAAATTAGAACATTAAAAAAGAATATAGAGTTAAAACAAATTTTCCCTTTGATGTCGATGCTACTTTGCGCTTCTTTGTGTTCCTTCTTTTTTCCTTTACGTCGCCAGTGATCTGTTAAACAGTTAATTATATATTTTCTCGTTGCAACATTACTCTTTTTCGTTAATTAAATGTTGCCTCTGGGTAAAAATTTTATAAAACTAGGAATGTCGGACAAAACAAAACAAACGATACGTGGCTATCGTTTGTAATCGAGTTCTTCTTTCGATAATTGTATTACAATTTTCTACACAGGGTGTTTCAATCTTCGTATCCTCTAACATAGATTCCGCTTGTACAATGAAGAGGATAGCTTGGTAGTTGTGCTTATTGAAAACAACAGATGTTTCTTTTGCGATCAATTTATTAGATTATGTACAAGTTGTACGTCATTTTAAAGTCGAGATTGTCTTTGGTTTGTGTGTCGTTCCGATAAATGAAAATTGAAAATAATATACAGCTCTGTCGATCATTAGACACCGACATATAGGATAGGAACTTAAAATTACTTAAATTACATGTAATCAATTATGTACTTTATAATTAAGCATAGCAATTTTTTTCGAGTATACAATAGTTGCAATTGTAGTTGCAGTTGTCACATTGATTGTACATCTTCGAATTTTTACAATTACATTGTAAAATAAATTGAAGAGATTAAATGAGGATTAATAAGAGGTTTTCAATCTAAAGATGCCTTAAAATCTTATCTCACAATGGGCATCACTTCAAAATAATTTAACAATCTCCTTATTATAAACAAACAGCGTCAGTTCTTCATCGGTTTCGCCACTAGAAACTTTCGTAAGACTTAATTTAATTTTTCAAACCCTGTTTTCATTATTAATCCTCCAATTCATTCCATTCCATCCCGTTAATAAAATCTGGAATCTTCTAATTTGTCTTATAGCCAAACCTCATATCAGCAAGATTTTCAAGCCAAATTAAACAAAATTCCTTAAGATCCTCTATTTAAGATTTAAAATTAAAAAAATTAAAAAGTCGGCTTAAAAATTAGAAAATTACAAAACTAAAAATTATACATTTATTTATAACCATCTTCCATTATTTCAGGGCAGAACTACATTGGGGATCTTAGACAGAGAAATTAACAGGCATCAGGAGTGTGAATTTGGCCTGATCCACCGGTAATTCATCGGATGCACACGGACTGATGCTGTCCAAAAGCGTTTGAATCGCGTTCTGGTTAGTGGGGTGCTTCCTCTTAGTATGTTCCCTCCTGTGCTTCAATTCTTTAAACGTTTTCCCGCATTGTTCGCAGACATAAGGTCGTGCTGCTTCGTGAGATCTCATGTGACCTTCGTAGTGACTCTTTCTGACAAATTTCTTGCCACACTGACCGCAGTCGAATTGAAAACGGCCTTCGTGAGCCGCCACGTGGGAGCTCAATGTCCATTTGGTCTTGAAAGTCTTGGAACAGTAGTCACATCTTATCTTGGATGCTGTATTCGAATTATTTTTCACTGGTTGCGCAATTCTTCGAGGATTCTTATTCAGAAGCAACATCTCTTCAAGCAAGAAGTCGTCTTCTTTTTCTGGTTGTTGTCCCCTTTCACTCTTTTCTAACACTGCTTGAGCTTCCAACATGTTTGCTGTGTGTTGCTTCATATGCTCTTGTAATTCCTCCTCATCCCGGGAACATGTTCCACACAGAGCACACACATTCTTACCCAGAACCTGTTAGATATTGATGATATAAATGTCAAAGATGGATCTGGTGTAATATACATACGTATATTAAAAGATAAGGTTGTCTAGGTAATGAGCTAATTGATCTATTAGTCGATAAAGCCAGATGGATAAGCAGTATTAGGGAAGTAGACAAATATGAACTAGACTTGTTCTGAGATCTGGAAGCTATTTGGTTCCGTTGGGATATTGCTAATTGTATTATGCAAAGGAATCTAAGTGATTACTAAAAACTATTGTATTCATTATTTTTCTTGAAAATATTTCTAAACGAGAACTCTTCCATAAACCTGTATGTTGGCATCTACCTTGTCAGAATAGCAAATGACGTTATCCAAAGGGAGAGTCTGATTAATTTGTAGAAATTGTCATTTATTATTATTTCATTATTATTAGGAATATTCGTAATTACAAAATTAGGAATGAACCTGTATGCTGCAGTCTATTTCGTTGGAGTAACAAATTTAAGAAGAAGAGAATCTAATTAATTATTAGAAATTACTAACATACCTTTTCATGGGAGCTCATGTGAGCTCTGAGCTTAATCTCACTAGTGTACTTCTTCTTGCAATGCAAACAAGAATAAGATTTACTCTCGCGTGATTCATCATTCCAAACCATATGTTGTCTATCAATTATTCCATTTGCTATATTCTCGTTACTTTCCTTCCCATTTTGTTTGCCGACCATAGTGTAATTTTCATAATCGTGCAGCTTTTCTTTTCTCATTTCGTGACGAGCAATGTGTCGTTTCAGGTCGTGTGCCCTCGAGAAGGCTCTCCCATACCTGGTGCAGCCAGGATAAGGACATCCTTTGGTTTTATCGTTTCTTAGCCGAGAGTGAACATTATTGGACGACTGTTTGCCATCCTTGGTGTAATCTTTGCAAGATTTTTCAATTTTCTGACTGGTAACTGTGGCCAACTGTGCTGATAATGGAATTACAATAGAGATGGTTTCATTGGTTCCTGGATTCACTATGGGACCAACATGTATGGCTGGAGGCGTCGCCAGGGATATACCATTTTCATTATTTTTACTCATCATGATCCTCAGTAAAATTTCCCAGTTCTTGAATACTAAGAAAGACAAGAGAAAAAAAGGGAACATTAATAGCTTGTTTTGTGTCATAGGAATTTCAATTGTAGGTCATTGGAGAAAACATGATAACATGGGATTGATCGATAACTTAATAAATTTGGATGTACTTCCTTATAAAAAATAGCAGATGCGATATATTATGTTCTTCTCCTGTAATCTTTAATTATTACGAGCATCGTTTTTTGAGAGAGGAATGAAATGGAGTGAATGGAGAATTTAATCCTATGTTCATATTCAATATTCAACGAATCAATATCGTAAAAACCTAGTCCTATGGAAACTCGAGAAAGCGTGAAACCGATAGTAAAAGACAAGTACTTGTGTTCTTCTGTTTTTAATTTGTATATGCAACTCAATGTAATTTAGATGTAGTATTTATATCATCGAATCATGCATGTACAGGGAGTTCCAATAATGATTACATTTTAACATCTTCGCTATAAAATAAGGAGCAAAAAGAAGAAAAATATTCTGATATTTTACAATGCAGATGACTTCTTGAACAACGTTAGGAAATTTATATCTATGGAGATCGTTTATAGCTTCCATAAACAGGTAAATGAAGCCTCGTGAAAAAGTATTCTAAATTCCCAGTAAATAATTTTGTTTTAGAATTTTCAGTTTATCAAGAAATTTTGACGTATGGCCATAAACTAATTTTATTAAATAACTAAACAATTTTGCTTGAATGTTTCCAGTTTGCCAAGAAATTTTGACGAATAGCCATAATTATTGAACCACCCTGTAGATGCATTATTCGCCATGGAAAGGTCTACTTCTCCAAATGAACTTTCCCTCGAACAATAGTATCGAACAAAGGTAGCATAACAAAATCAGTAGCCATCTTGAATCGAGCAAATTCACCCTCTGTATTCCGAATGAAAGAAATTCGCAGTTACAAGTGACATTACATTCATTTGCATTTCAGGGGACTACGAAACAGTTCTGGAAACGGGTTTTTACTTGGTTTGCAACCTTGCTCCGCTTTGATTCTTCGATCGCCTCCCTCTTTTATTCGACACGTCAGAGGCTGCCTCAATGATTCATCCACCTCACGCCTCTTCTACCCTCCCCTTGGAAAGGGCGAGTCGACACGCGAGATCACGTATCATTTCCTTATCCACAAGTATTCAACGATAATTTCATTCACTGTTAAATAATTTTTATTATTTATACATGTACCTATATGTAGAAGTTCATATACAGTGGTTGTAAGAAGTATTTATACGTCATTAATATATATTATAGTATATAATAAATAAATACTATTATACTATATATTATAATATTTATTATGGTATTAAATATTTAGTATTTATCGCAGCATTCACATGCTAATTAATTAGGCCCAAGTACGTTAAATCTCGTACTATTCAGTATTCTTTTCACATGACTATAAAAATTTGATACCATGAAAACGAAACGCATAGAATGTGGTAAAAAGACGCTTCGTTAGAAAATAAGGGTATGTTCAAATAATTTTTGCAGCCACTATATATATTCATGTATATATCTATTTCACGTTATCACATATTTTTGTGTACGACGAATAAGCCGCGCAATTAATGATTCTTTCCTTTCCAGACTTTCTCGAGCAATTCGTTTTCTTAACAAGCACCCCACCCGGGTTTGCACCGGGTAAAAACGAACGACAATTTTTCGCGGATCGAAAGGAATTCTGACGAGAGACGAGGTTTCTCCCTTTCTCTCCTTATCCACCTCTCTTCACTACCACGAGAGCCTCTCTATACCTTGTGTACAACTCACACGATCTTTGTGAACACGCGCGCGGTCGTGTGTTGCCGTGCGTTACAACGTGGATGACTCCTCCACGGCGTGGATGAAACGACTCACTCGACTTGCTCACTTTCCTCGCCGCGATGAAAGTGTGCTACTACTGATCAGGAACGCGCACTCTCCCTGTTCGTTTCACGGACGCGGTACCTCGCGCATGTCAACGTCTGTCTTGTTGATATATTATAGCTCGATGAGAGTATTGTCGTGATGTTATGCTGTTCTGTAGATTTTCTTCCTTTTTTTCTTTTTCCTTCTGTTTTATTGGTAATTTCTTGTTAATATTTGTTTTAGCGAAAAGGGGTGAATGATTAGGGAGGAAGAGGGTTTCAGTTTCATTAGATTTAAATTAAGTTAAATGTAAATTAGATTTAATTTAGATTGGAATTGTTTTGTAAACAGATAGAGAACGTTCGTATATTTATGGGAAATTTGTAGATGCTGGAATATACAGAATGTGTATACAGAATATGTAAAAATCCACATGTTGGACGAAAGTATTGTCATAACGTTACGCTGCAAGTTCTATAGATCTTCTTTCTTTTTTAGTTGTTTCTTTATTGGCGATTTGCCGTTAACTTTTATTTTAGGAAGGAATAGCGTTTGGATCAGATTTGAATTAAATTAAGTTAGGTATAAATTTGGTTTAATTTAGATTTCAATTGAATTATAACTAGATTGTGGATACCTTGGTATTTATGGAAAATTTGAGGATGTTAGAAAATACGGAATATATTGATACATACATAACAGGCAAAAATGTTTTGAGGAGGGTGGCTGAATGACTGAAAGAGAAGCTAATTTTTTAAAAGGATGCATTAGTCTTTATTCCGAATACCATGATTTTTATTGATTCTTTATACTCTATCTTTTTATATAGTCATAATTAAAAATTTTATACGAATGTAAATTCATTTTTAATTATGAATTTATAGAGATAAATTTTACATCTATGAATACAACTTCTAGAAGAACTCTTAGATTTGCAAAATCCATCGAGTCATATAATACAATGGAAACGTTACTAAACTGCTTCATATCAAATGACACACCTTCTCAACTTCCCCTGAGATCACATATACCGAGCTTAATCAGCTAATGGCGCGGTTGAAAATAATTACTCTCGAATGGGTAATTTGGATCAAAAAATGATATTACATTACGTATGTGAAACGACTCGTCATCTTTAAACATTTTTAAAAGTCAAAAATATTATAAAGGGGAAAAATCAGCTTTATTATGTTCGTAATAGTAACGTGTGCAAATGATATACCTACATTAACGAGAAAATTTCATGAAATGAAATGTACGATTTAATTAAACGCCTGTTAAACACGGACACGTGCACTGACAACAACATCTGCGCTATCACATTATATTAGACACCTAATGTAATTATGTAGTAGCTACTAATCAACGCAAGTGTGACGGACACGAAAGGTCTAATCTATTAGGTAAACTGAATTTCATCCACGCTTAGTGATCATTGCATTCTTCTTACTTTTTTAAACATATTTTATCATAACTTTACTTTAAAGATCTGCTGTTCTAATCACTGGATATTAATACAGGGTGATCTAGAGTTTAATAGCCGAATTTTATATAGGTCATTTAAAGTTCCATTGACATGTTATAATAAAAGTACGAAATACACAGAGAATGCGATTTTTGCCACCAATTTTACGTGATTGTTTATAACAAAATTTGACTGTTAAATACCGGAATATACTGTATATTTTCTTATATTTTGCAATATGCATTTTTGCATATGCATATGTTGCATATGCATTTTTAAATGAATGCATTTCACATTAATGCGTGAAGAGTTGCAGTCTAGTAATTTTATTTTGTAGTAAGTTAGAAGATAGCATATGCATAGAATAATAGTGTTTATAGAACTTGTTCTAAATTATTTATTGTTGCTGATGGAGAAGTTTGTTTCTTGTAGTTTCCTTCAATCTGGAGTATGGCGAGGCTTTTATACTTGATGCTAAAATGCTCGTATACGTCTAAGTAGATTTATTGAATATGGAAATTTTTATATTGACAAGATTGACAAACTAACTCATGTTTCTTGGTTGGTAACTCGTGATTTTATACAGGATACTTTGTAGCATATTAGCATTGTTCTTCCTTTCTAAAAATCATCTGATTTACCATAGATCTACTGTAATAAAAATTATTATTCTTGCGAGTAAAATATTTTGAATTATATTTAGTAACATATTTCGATAAACGTGATAGCGTGAGATAGTATAAAATATAGGTACATATAGGATAATATATGTATACATATATGCATAAAATGCATACAGTGCGAGGTGGTTGTAACGTGTAGGTTTATTTAATAAAATAACGAGTGGATGAATTTGTAATAGTCAGATATATTAAAATAAGTACAACTACTAGTACAAAGTAATCGTCTGTCGTCCAGTGCTGTTATACCAATCGAAGAAATGATAATAATACTATTGTCGTAGGTAGCACGTTCATACATCTATATTAACGGATGTTACCACGAAAAGTCAAGTCAAGTTAAAAAGTTAAGTTGTAACCTAAAACAACGTTAATATTCAAAGGTACGATAATATGAGTCTCTCCTAGATTGAAATTTTCCATTACAATTTGAAACTTTTTCTACGGCCATGTGCCACTACAAGTATAATAGAGATAATATAGATAATACAATATCAGAGATATAATATGTATAGATAGCATGCATGCAGAATACTATAGATAACATACAAAACAGAATATTATAAATAATATAGATAATGGAGCATAGCATAAATAGAACAGACCTAGAAACGCTGACTATAAAATTGCTAAATCCTCAATGTTTCAGGGTTTAACGTTTTAACATTTTAACATCAATAGATTTAACATTGAGAAATATCGTGTCGTTGACTTGTCATTACAATCCATTTATTTGTAAAACGTTACATAGCATTGCACGTTTTTATTGTCAAGCATTTTTTATTTAAATAATATTCTTCGAAAACCGAAAAATTATAATATACAAGCCATACGTATGGCTCCAAATAAATCGATAAACACTCGACACTAGAACACACAGTGCATAATAACGACAGAAACATAGTGGATAGACGGTGTAAACGAAACTTGATCAGAGCATGCTTTGGTATGCTAAGTGGTACGTATTAAGCTAATTAATGGATGCATCTCGGCATAATTTGTGTGTTCAGAGTCTCTTAGTTACCACGGTGTACGCGGTTCCTGTGACTGATCGATACTTCTAATTTCATCGGTTGAAGAGGGGCAGAGAGGAAATGGGTGGAAAGGGAGAGGAGAGACTAGGAGGTGGAGATGCAATCGCTTTGGTTGTCATACGCACAATCACGAGGTTGCGTAACATTGAATCTACGATGTTCGAAAAGAGCGAAGCAACTTCGGATTTTCTCCCCTTATGAGAGTCATATAAATGCAGATGTGGTCGTATTTCCGGTATAGAAACATCGGTATCATTTCGAAGTATACATACAGCAGCTCACAAAAGTATCTGAACACTTGCAGAAACCTTTTAGCAAAATATAGAGGGTGTCTCGGTAATAATGGTACAATTGACAAGGAACCGAACCTCAATTTGTTTTTAAATTAATAACAATCAACTGTTTTATTAAAAATTGTACTTCGCCCCATAAAATATTCAACACTAACATGTTGCATATACACGATCTAACATACAGGACATATGTGTAATCTGTAAAATCTGTACATATCTGTAAAAATATAAATTAAAGATTATTTATATTTTCTGTCATATATGAAATTATTGCGCAAAGTGAAAATGGTCGTTGCACGAGAATCAGATAATTGATCGTTGTATATAGATGTTTATTCCTTGCCGATTGTACCATAACTACTAGGCTCATTGCATCGCTAAGGAGATTTCAAAGAGTTTCACACAACACACGTCATACATTTATGCTTATATAGAATATATCATAAAATAATAAAAAAATAGATAATACGTTATAATATACTTGTAAAAGTTTTCTACAAATGCTAAAATACTTTCATGAGCCACTGTATATTATAATGTACGTTGGCGGGCATAGGAAGATACCTTAGCCCCTGGCGAATGGCTTTTCTTTGGAACTTACCAGCGCAGTGGGTGCGCTTTCATTTCCATAACACGTGAATGTATATGTATATGCTTGGTCTTATTTCCTATTGAAATCGAGGTTTTATGGTTTTCAGATGCAGCGTGTTCTATTCGTATATAGATTTTGCGATTGTTTCCAAATTATGGTAAATTTGTGTGGATAAGATACGTATAATAAGTAGAGCAATACATTGTACCTTTTTTTTTATTAAAAATTATTTGTACTAAAAGCTACACAGGAGAACGTATATGCATATGTACAATGGTCTATTCGAATAATATTTACATAAATATTATCTACATTTCAAGGTACACGTGAATTAATATACTGATCAAAATTATAAAAATTGCGTATCATCGTCATTGTTCATAGTATTTCTTATCCATTTTACGTAATACTGTATCCTAGTATACACATCAGGATATCCTGGTCTAGCACATCCTGATCCAAAAGAAGTGACGCCTGCCAATTGCCATACTCCGTCTGCGCGACGGCATTGTAATGGTCCTCCAGAATCACCCTAAGAGATGTTACTATTTTATCATTTAAAACATTACTTATAAATGTATATATGTATATTTATATTGCTAAAAACATTTACGACACTAATTACTGAAAATATTGTTAAAATATTCGAATCAAATTTTAATAATCTTGAAACGAAGAAATGTGTACCACAATACTTTTATCTTGTAACTTAAAATATTGCTTAATATCATATATATATGTATATTAAAAAATTTTTAAAAAGATTTATAACTAATTGTCGAAAATATTTTTTAGGTGTGCGAATGTAATACCGAATATCCTTAAAAGGGAAAAATATTTACTATAAAGCATAGTAAATGCTTCAGAAGGCGTGTTAAAATCGAATTATGACGAGTATGGAGAGATTTTAATGTTAATTTCACATTGGTATAAATAGCAATTTTATAAGTAAAGGAATTCACGAGATTCATCTGGATAAAGCGTTGTCATAGAAAGCCAGATTGCATTATCCAGAAAATGCAAGGATTCCAATCTACTTAAGTGTATTTTGATGATCGGTGCTGGATATCTTATGTAACGACGAAAGTAATAACTCTAAATTTCATGAAACGAAACGATGAAAATGTTTTAGAATTTGGATAAAAAGAATTGCCTTTGAAATAATAAGATTAGAACAATGTTACTCGTATGCGGCATAATATGATATAATAATATCAAGCATTCCAGCTTACATTTTTACTCGGCAGGAATTTAGTTAATATAATATAGAAATTGATTATTTACCACGCAGCTTCCGGTCGAGCCATCAGTGTGACCAGCACAGAGATGACCGCTTCGAAGCGATACCGATTTCCCATAAGCTTTCATGCATTTTTCAAGATCTAGCAATGGCACTGAGGCTTCTAATAATGCAGTGGAAAGTGACTGAGAAGGTCCGTATCGACCCCAGCCAGAAGCGACGCATTGTCTATTCGCAAGCTCCTCTTCCGGCTCCGGTAAACATATCGTTCGTACTACTTTGGACAAAGGAGCTGGTCTAGCTAACTTCATCAGCGCTAAGAGAAAATTGAATATCCTAAATTTTAGTAATTTTAACACAAACTATCGTAGTTACCTAGCTTCTTATCAAGCCAACGATACCACTTTAGGGTTAAAATCGTTTATTTACCAATATCGTGTAAGTAATTGTTGAATCTCTCATGGAGGATCACTCGTTCAACAGGTAGTCTTGCCGAGCCTCGTCCACCGGAGTCTAATTCCCATTCCCCGACCACCGCCGTCCACAGTGCACCAATCGGTAAATTGAAAAGCTCGCTGTAAGTAAATATCCAGTCAGTTTATAAATCGATGGTGATCAAAATATGTATATTTATATTTCATTAATCTTTACACGTACGGATAAATTTCATTGGCTAACAATATTGTATATTTGTCTAATAATTTAATAAATCTTTTTTTTTTTAGACACTCTATATAGTGATAAGCTGGAAGCTCGTCGCTAAGTTCGTATAGATTCAATGAAAAGTGAAACCCACTTATGAATGCAATGAGCAGCTGTGACGACCCAAGTGGGTTCAATGAGAACGCCGCCGCACCAGTGACCGATAAATCCTAATTTTGGGTGGAGAAGCTGTAGAGACACCTGCCAGGGCCAAGAGCCTCGTTTACTCGGTTTCCCGTTAAATATTCGACCCGTTGTACTCCCGACATTCTTTTGCTTGTCCACAGTAGAAGAAGTGACGTTTTTCACCGACAGAATCGCACGTGGCTGCCTATGCGATGCTGAAGGACATCCGCAAGCTGTTATTCAAAAACTCAAGTTTCCCACCTCGTTGACTTTCACTGGTAGTCAACTAATATCAATTAAACACGTAATATATTCAATGGTTTGACGAAACGGTTATTTGTAGACTGCACATTTTTACGAATCCACGAATTAAATTTAAAGATTTAAAAGTATACAAAATGCATATAATAGTTCTATGATATATGTATAACAGTTCCCCTATAAATTCTATTTCTAATTCTAATTCAGTTTAGTTACAGAAATAAGACCTTGATGGAGATCTGTGTCACTCACTAAATATTATTAGTGCTTTTATTTTAGCATATTAAATGCATCCTGCAGACTTTTCCATTTCTCCATTTCTCATAAAGGTACAAACAATCTATTTATTATATGAATAGAAATTGTATTGAAACGTTTAATGTCTATCAAACTTGAAAAATAAAAATGATCTTCCTTAAAAAGTTAAAAGACATACAATATTTTAAAAATATCTAAAAATACATTATAAACAATATTCAAAAAATACAGGATAAGTGTTATAGAAACGGTAGCTTAACATTATGTTATACTTACAGAAATGATCTTCCTGAACGATCCTCAGGATCGTGCAGTCGATCTCCGCAAGAATGAAAAGAAGTATCGCCAGCCCACCGCGAAGATTCATTTCCAGTAAGGGAAGCACACCATGTATACAACTATCTTCTTCAACCCCGTACACTTTATTGTCTCATACTCTTCATATTGAATTATAACCATATACACTTTGAACTTTACTATTTTATCGATAATGAATTTTCTTGATATACCTTTCAATGTTTTAAGTCTCACAATGTACACAAATCAATTTTTTTACTATCAATTAATTAATTTCTATCATCTTTCAGATAACATCACAATGATATTAAAAAGACACGCATAATCGAAGAAAATAAAGTAAACGAATAAAAGGTACTTTAACAAAGATATGCAGAAAAGTTTACAACTTTTAACAAAGACGATAGAGGCAAGTGACGAGAGTACGACTAGGTAATCCTTGTTGCGGATCGTTCACTAGAACGAGTAAATCCTTCGAAGGAACTTACTTAGAAGAAAGTGATCGTTGACGATTCCCATCGAAGAAGGGGAATATGCATACTTGCGATCACGACGAACCAGTGGAAACTGGCAGCTCTTAAACAGACGAATATCGCTCTCACTAACGAAAGTTACCTCTTTGCCATCACTGTCTTTCTTCCTCGCTCTTTTCATACCAATTAGAAACGTTCATTTTTCTTAGATACGATTATGAATCACGTGTCTTCGCAAACGCGTGCAGTAAGATCCTTGTATCAATGAATCCTTTTTTTATTATTGGCTATTTAACTCCCAATTAACTCGCATGTTACACACTTCCTTTAGAATAGAATCAAATCTTCTTCGTTGATTTTCAGATAGGAATTTTAAAGACTATTTCTTTGAGAAAGAAAAATCTTCATGGGAAAAAGAAAGTTGATCACTACGTTGAGTTTAAAGAGACTTAAGATATTGTTTCAGCTCTGCTAATGAGATAGTGAATGTAATTCATACTTAATTTTATGTAGATTATATTTCATCCAATATTGGATTAGATCTAATTATTCAAATTTAATGTTAATTTGGTGTTTAATTTAGTACTTAATTTTGGTTCATCTCAATTGAGCTAAATCTAATAAACTTGGCACAGATATAATTTAATGTTTAAGAGGAGCTAAGGACTGAAGATTGTAGTTAAAAAATGTGTTATTTAAAATAATCTTTGTCTAATTTGAATCCAACTTAGTGTCTAAAAGGACTTGAGGATAAAATTGTAGGATTTGAAAAATGTATACGTCATTCAATCTTCAAACTATCAAATTTAGAAATGGAGATATTTTCATGGTGATGTCTAGATCTAGAAACCCAATTCGCCTACTAAATACATCCTGCGTTACAGATCTTCCTTTCAGTCTGTAACGTATAATCCGTTATGAATCATTTAGTTGTAGTTTCTCGTAATTACGCATTATCGAGGCATCGGAGGAACGATCGCTTTTTTGCTTGACGTCGAATTACCCGATGCAGTAGCGTGTTTACCAACAAACCTGTTAATCATTACTCTCGAGAAACGGATTCTCGCTGAGAAACATAAACGCACGTATAGCTTGTCATTTCACTACAACGAGAATGTCAGTGATGCAGAGCAGTGAACCTAGAGGACGATTCAAAAATTCAGTCACAAAATTCTTGCAAAAGGATCATTATATTACATTGATTATCAAATTAATTCATAGAAGCAGACGAGCAATACTTACAATACTCGATTTTGAAATTAATTCTTTCGTAAAAGGCAAAAATAATAAAAACTTGAAGATGACATTAGTATCTTTGGAATTTACTTTGTTAACATATAATTAAATAATATAGGTATCATAAATAAAAAGATTTATCGAATATTGTTCCATGAGAAAAGGAAGAATGTTCGAATTTGAAAACTGGAAGACATGTTTTGAAAGGACCTGTATAACTTTTGCATAAAAACGTGTTAATTATAAATTGAGGATATTGAGAACTAAAAATAATAGTTTGTTTCCTTTTTTGAAGCAGCTTGTAGAGTTGCTGTTATCGAGGCCATTTCCATGAGGCAAGGAAAGTGAGGAGGAATGCAATGTGACGTCGAGATAAGTAACGAGTTGAGCGTGTTTAATTACTCTCTCTGTTCACGAGAACATTTTTAGCATTGCTAATTCGTTCAAAGAGAACTTTATAGCGTTATAAATTATGAAACTCGATCGAAATTACAAAAATTCCACGACGTAAATTATATAGTTGAAACAAGGCAGGAAGCGTGTAAACGAGATTTCCTTTTTTCTCCCTTTATAGTTCAGAAGAAAGCGATGTAAAGTAAAATTGTTTTCTACGAATCTTCCGTCGTTATTTGAATTTTCTATGGTTCAATTTTGTCACTATTTCAGCTAACATCGAATAATTTCGTATTATTTCCACTAGAAACGGTCCAAGTGTAATACTTGTATAGAATCAGCTCTAATTGTGAAAGCGAAGACAGTAAAGTCGATGAAAGCGATCCTTTTGTTTTTCCAAAGCGATTTAACATGACCGTAATTCCGTGTGTTTCACGTTCAATTGAAAATTCTTACATGCAGAAAATGAAAATATTCCGTTTCGACTATACATTGCTTACAAGATGTACAAAACGTTCATATTTCCCCCTTGTAATAATTTTTTCATCCAATTGTAAAAAAGTGCATCTAATATTTATGAAAAACCGATACACATTTTCACTCATTAATTACAATAGAGAAAGTTGTAAAAAAACTGCTTTCTGATATCCTTAAAGAACATAGTGCATGCACCATTTACTACACCTGCATACTTAGATAGTTTTCAAATCTTATGGAATTATTTATCATAATTGAAATTTAAAAACTGAGATATAAAACTGAGATATCTTTTAATACAAATTCATATAAATTTTATTAAATATGTAAGGTACATATAATATATATTATAATTTATTGTAATTTGTAATAAATTATAATAAAATATGTAAAAGGTTATATGTAGACCGGAAGTGTTATATTGCCCGGATATAAAAATGCAATATGGCGGCTGAGGAAAGGTGGGCACATGCCACAAAGCAAGAAAACACATCGAGATCAGTTATATATATTTTAATCAATTTGTTTTTATACCGGACTACAAGGGTATATATATTTGTTTATTTGTGTACTTTTTTTTATTATTACAGTCGATTGCTTTCTCTTAACCATTCCAATCGATACAGATTGAGATTCGAATTTACAGCAATATATCGCGAGTAAGCAAATTAGCCTAATTTGATACGGCGTTTCCTTTTAGATCAACCAGACTCGAGAATCGTTATAATATACATGTACAATAATAAGCGTGCTGAATGTGTAAAAAGACGGAATAGATTGAATCCATTTAGGAGATAAAAATTGCTACAAAGTATCTTATAAACTGTAATTGACAATACAATGATATATAGTCAATCAGAACATTTTTTGGTAAGCAATACAAAAATTTTATTCATTAATGTTGAACGATTGCAAATACACAATTATATATTTCGAAAGAAAGAAATTACAATACCCAAAGGTCAATTGTCCCATTATCTTAATTAAAAAACAGTTTCAACGTTGAAAATGTTTAAAAAAATATCCCAGAAGATATAGATGCCTTTTATAAAAATTTAATGTAATACAAATAAACAAAAAAGAGAAGAAATTCAATCTCTTCTTGAATCTAACAATATTTATGTTAAAAAATATTAGATTGTTTCTTACCGAACAAAATTTTGAAATGTCCACTGCAATCATTCAGCATTTCTGTGATCAAAAGATCGAGCAAAAAAAGATCAATGTACGCGTGTTCAGCTGTGTCATGGAACAACGAACAGTTCAAGACCTCTTCTGTTAATTACATTGCATCAGTATATGTATACAATTGATTGTGTAGGTGAACAAACGAGTGTATTTACAATATCGGTACAGACAATATATACAGGTCGAAAAGTGTAACAGACAGTTTCTCGTGTTTGTGATTTTAATCCTTGTCGAATACGATTACTCTTGACGACTAGTGATTGTAACAGCATTACAGGAAAACGATCGCGTTAAAGTGCGTCTCCACCAGCGTTCGCGAACAATATGGGACTCTTTGCATATCAAGAGAAAATACAAACTCGAACTTGAAGTCGAAAAATGTGGAAATAGAAATCCTGTGTTCGCGGTGAGAAGTTGAAAGTGACATCCACACCGGCTAACATCTCACGAATATCGTTCCCAGATATTTCATAACCATTACGCAATCTTCTTGTAAACACTTCGTTGTCCTAGTTCTTAACTGTCCTAACCCCATTTTTCTAAAGAACGTAATTAGCTAATGCACATATGTCTCATCGGTATAAAGAATACAAATTCATGAAAATATGATGAAAATTCTACTTAGCAAATAACAAATATTCAGTTCTCTTAAATTCTAACTCTATACGATTACATAAAACTACATGAAATATAAAGTCTAAATAAAACTTTTAGCTGTAAATAAGAACTAGAGCAACGACTTAACAAATTCACGCCTTATTCATAACATTTGTCTAATTAAAATAAGATCAAATATGATATAGTTTGAATCATTTATAATTTTGTAGTTACAAGTGATTAACAGTGTTCGTGTATTGTTCGTCGGTGAGAATTCGTCTTTATGAACATTGACCGAATTAACAAGATAACTTCAAAGGGACGACATATCGCAAGAAGACGCAAGAAGTTTGAAGGTTTCTTTTTGTTTTTTATTTTTTTGATTCAGATCATTGAAGATGAGCAAAATCTTCAAATTTGTAACGCGACGTTTCCCTTCACAGGTGATTGTTTTTTTATTGTCTGATTATTGTTTCGCTTTACACAACATTCCAATAATCCATTCATTTGCCTCTCTCAAGGATTAAAAACACAAAATGATACAGTTCTCGATTGAACATAAAACGCAGTAGGACATTTCCGATCGTCTGTCTCTGTGTGGTATTTTATTTTGCGTGTTCATTACCTTTAATCGTCTTTGTCTGTACATATTTATACGAAATCGTTATCATTAATATCGTACAAAGGTAACGAAGCGGAGGAACATTGTTGAACGATATATCAACTATCCTAAAAATATTATATTCTTTACATCAAACGTTTTTCCATTTTTCAAATCTCGTTTTCGAGTTTTGTGTTCGTGCACGAAACATGTTAATCCTTTTATAGGCGATGAGACTTATTCTTCTTTTTAATGAAATAGACACACTACTCAAAACAATTACGTAAGGTTAGAACTTTGTAAATGAGGAAATTATTGCATTCAAATTTCATAAAGGTACATATAATGCATCCAAGAAAAAATAAGTATATATTGATTACATACATATAGTTATATCTTTTATATTTTACAATAAATGTGTATGTATATATATTCCTTTCGTTGATTAATAATATACTACATATATTCTACTTATTGATCACTTTCTCGATAGGATATTTTGACTAATATTTTGATTTTATTGCTTATATGGGTTAACCAGTTAAAGAGATTTTGAGCATGCGTATGTTTCAACGACATAATGAGTTTATTGAATGATTTGTAATTGTTTCGAGTAGTGCACAAAAGAATAATATATACTGTGACAATGAAATATCACGCATTTACTTACGAACATGATATAACGTGCTTTCTGCGTTAATCACGTAATTTTGACGGACATGTGTGAGCAATTTGTATTTTCATAACATGAAATAAAAATACAAAAGCAGCTTTATTAAAATTTTCATCAAACTACAAATCGAATTTAGGATGTTAAAGGAAATGAAACAAATAAGATTGAAATAATTTCCATGCTTCCATGTATTCTTTATTTTATCTCTAGCATGAAAGGAAGAAAATTGATTTAAAGCACAAGTCAACTTGCACATGTCCTACGTATGATGCATAAGATATGTTGAGCAAACTTGATTTTGTACCATATGAACTTACAGGTAAAACCTAATGGATATCACAATCTAAAGCACGGCGATTTAGATGCTGGATAAACTATTGATTAAAGGAAATATAGCGAGGTGTCCAAAATTTATTCGATAACGGTGCGTAAGGAAAAGCCATTCAACTTTTACTTTTTTCACACTCGTCACAAACTTACATTTACTTTCGTTAATTTTGTACTATTCAAAATTACAACTCATTTCAGGTCTTCCATTAACGCGTTAAACGCGTCATTTTTGTCATTTTGTTCCTGGGAACCGACACTAAACTTTTTATTTGTACACGGACTGCCACGGACGCGTTTTTTGTATTAACACACAGCACCGCTTAAAGGCGAGAATTCCTTTGTGCGTCCAATGTACGGTACGTGTCCTGTGTCAAAAGCAGTCTTAAACCCAAGTCACACAAGCAACGCAATCTCGCTGCGATATCGCAGCCGGCATCCGTCGGGCACATTTGTACCTTTACAATGAAAAAGTATGCTTTTGTTTTCGCAGTATCTGATTTATCATGTGATTCGAATTTGACTGCTCTTGGCGCAGATGCGCGCATTAAGCACACCTAGAACATCCCGCCTTAAATGGGAAGCAAAACAAAATGAACTTCGTGTTTAAGATATTTAGATAATGACTGTATAAATTATGCAGTTTAGAAACTTTAAATTGCATAATTAACAAAGCACCAATCTATCCTCACTTTATTTCTTCCGCTATTCGATTCATTGATCGTATCGATTTCTTATTGATAAAATCTTAAAAGCTGTCGAGAAACAATTTGATAGCAGAACTAATGTTAGCTTGAAATAGTCTACTACGGAAGATAGAATGGAAGGGAAGAGATGTCTTCGAAAGCATTTTTTGAGCGATTCGGTATTTATCGAATGATTATACCTGTAACGAAGCTTCTTATGGAAATACTATACAATACGTTTATCGACGATAAATCGCAAGCGTGTTCGTTGCTTAATTCCAATTACGTAAGGCTCGATTTACACGATAGCACCTTCTCGTTTTATTTCACAAATCTTTCCTTTTCGCGGATGTCACTTTGATTCTTTGGGCAATGTCGAAAAACTCAATTGGTTAATTCTTGTCTGAATCAATAATTTAACATATACAACAATAATAATACTATCAATAACGAAAAATGTTATTATTATGCGGAAATAGATAGTTTTTATGGAGGTTAATCTATTAATTCTAAGGTTAAGCTCCATCGTTCTACCAGTATAATAAAAGTAACATGAATTCGAGGTATAAATAGATACAAATCTATTACTTTTAATTAAAATTAGTTAGTGTGATCGTATCGTTAAATTCGATTTTTCAATCAAAGATCATATTTTTCCAAAAAATACCTCGAATTTAACAATACATCTAACATTTCTGAATACAGACATTGCATCGCTACTTATGTCGGACTTGTATTAACAATTCATCGCACGCTCGTCTATTTACTGATTCTAGAATAAAATAAGTAAACATACTATTTCCTTGTGATACAGTCTTAAATTTGCCTCGTACTCTCGCTCTGTTCTCATCTTAAAATGTTTACGAACTATACACAATTTTTATACAATTAGGCATATTCGTTTGTTTATCGTTTATGTCTTTTTTTTTTTTTTGTTACTTTTACGTTAGATGATAAATATCAAACGAATTTTCGCTTATCATCTGCATACCGTACATACTAACACGGATTGGCTTTCGTTCTTAAGAACGTAATTATCCGCGTGATATGGTTCGCTTTGTTTATTCATATTACTTTTTTTTTACTTTTGTTGTTTCTTTTTCTTGGTTTTAAATGGTCCGTAAATTTTGTGTTCGACGCAGCAGGTAGTGCGTGATAAGGCCCTAAATGTACATTCAAAAAATTCATAAAAACTTTTCGGCAGTAATGATGATAGACACGTGCGAATCATTTCATAACATCTCGCGTTTATAGTACGTTTATCATACGCAGCTATGCGAAAATTGTGAACGTATATAGATCAGTACGAGCCGCATAACATTCCATTTAGGCAGACGAGCGATTTGCGATAGCGTAACCGCCGTGGTAATTTCCTACTACGTTTATGCGTCCAATTTTTGCGTTAATTTGCCGCCACGTTTTGCGTTCCCGTGTAAACTACTTCATATAAATCTATGCTATTCTAAAACGCAGCAACAGAGTGTCACGCCGCTGACGTTCTCGCAAACCGTTCATCTATACCGAACCTTAGAGTTTCCTCTTCTGCAGTGAAAATAATTTATATGTAAAATATTTTCATATAGCGTAAAATAATTAACACATTATCATCGGTTCACGCTTCTTTAATACGCCGAGCAAGAATCTATATGCGGTAGGAAGTGCGACGCTTCTAGAAATTCGTAAACGATTAAAATAGACAAGTCAATAGATTAGTCAAAGATACTAATTACATTGTTTATAATTCTATCAGACCTCGACTAATACCATTTATAAACATAAATAAAAGTAGCGGTAGTTAGCTAGATCTGATAAACTAAGGAGATTGGGGCTAGTTAAGTGCACGCGTACTTAACGAACATTCAACCTCGATTTTCTCGAGAACGGAGCAACAGAGCTCCATACGAACAAACTTTGTTTTTACGAAAAGATCATTTCTCGTAGTACGGTAATTAAGGAAAAAACACCTCTACGATAATAGGCTAAATGTAACTGTAATATTTTTGTTAAGCGATTACAGTTAAACGATTCGACTTGCTTTAGTTTCGCAATTCGCACGTGTCTAAAAGATAATAAAGCTGAATATTACACATTTACATGTGATTGGGGAAATTTTAGGGAAATTATTTACATTAAAAGTCGATCTCGTTATCGGATCCGAAATAATATCTCGGATAGTGGTTTATCGAAACGAAATCGCATCTAAAGCCAGTACAGTTTTTTCTATAGATCTGTAACTTACAGTACTGCCATTTTAACCGATCAAAGTGGTAAAGTCTTGGTAACTGCTGTCGTTATCACTTTTATATAAACTATCTACAAACTCTGAAATCAATCTAAATATTGAATGTTATTATATCATTCTATCCATTTCTCTTAGCCAAAGAATAAAATTACTGGAATAAACTCTCCTTTGTTAACTGGCCAGATTTAATTTCAACTAACTCGTTATAAGGCAGTACTGTATAGGATTTATTTTTATACTAATTGTAAGTATCTAATATTTGATTAAGCACACGCCGGTTTTCGATCCCTTTCGGTGTATGTTCTAGTTGTACATTCTGGTCTTGCAAACACGACCTTGAAAAATGTTGATTCTGGTGTTCATTAAATAATGTATCAGCACCACTATACATGTGTGTATGTATGTACTTCGAAAATTTCGATAATCGAGTTTCACCTAATTTTTTCACTGAATTCCTGAACACAAATTGGCATCGAATTTTTTTCTCTCCCAATATATTTACAACAGATAATTCTTTTCTTTCATTCTTTATTCTAACGATATTCTCGTCGATACTAATGATATTCTAAAGTAATGTTAGTGAAAAAAATGCAAAATGTTTTCTCTTAAAGAAAAAAAGAAAAAAGAAGATTAATTGTGAAAACTAGGTGAAACTGCATTATTGATTTTTTTACAGTTTATCATTGTTAAAATAACGTTTGATTTCGTTATGTCGACATATGTATAATATTTGCGTGTATATACAGAGTGTATCAAAATAAGTGTCGTCTAAAATAATTATTTTTTATCACTTTTTCTCTTGCGTTGTCCAAATAGAATAATATACTTTTATCTCAGAATACCATGAAATGTAAAAGAAGAAATCTATTTGATTTAATTTCTCAAGGTCACTTTATATTCGTTGCCAATGGTACTGCATGAAACAGGTCCACGCGCAATGATTTTTGATCGATTGGTCGTATAAATTACAAACATGGTTTATAAATAATTAGTTACAAATATATCGATCTTCAACTTTAATCTTTTCTAGACATTAAATTGTTCAAAGGTCACTGCACAAGTTCATCAGATATTTTTTTTATATCTTCATGGTATTAAAAATAAAAATATGATATTCTTCACTCGAAAATTCTTTCGTTCTTTAATGAAAATTCTATTTCGCTCTTCTACGTTATTTTGGTAATTTGTAATTATTAGACTCTGAATACTTATGCATTTTTTAGAAATGTAAAAATGCAAAATCTATAGAACGCATAAAATGTACGAAGTAGAGTATTTATTATAATATTTAGTACATGAAACAAATTTCTATTTATATTCCACTTTCTTTAGTTATGTTTACAAAAATCTAAAATCGCATAAGCATCCTCAGTCTAGTAAGTATTTTATACGACACTTTTTTCAGAACATCGTGTATACGGGTTTCTCGTATTTACTTAGAAGTAGAATTCCTTCTCGGGAGAACGAGAAAACCGAAGAAATCGAAATCAATTGCATCGACTAAGATAAAGGACGGGAGGAGATTGATGTTTTCGATAACGACTCCTTTCGTATTACTATAATATGCGATAACAAACGAATTGTGTGTATGTGCGCATAAAAAATTGAAAAATACATGACATAGAAAATGGAAGGAACTTGAATAACATTTGTATAGTACATTATACCTGATTTACAGAAATGGCGGCAACGCAACCTTCCACGGAACATATTCTTGTTTAAAAAAGTCGTTAGAAGTCCCATTGAAGTAGGCACGTATATATATATATTGAACCGTCTTATACGTCAAGAAGAAATTAATTGAATGAATTTTAACCCTCAATCAACTATGATTGTACCATCTAAGACTCATCAACGAAACGAAGAAACGTATTTTCAATGAGAAGATTTGATTTTCTAATTTTCATTATCAGGTACTTCTTGCACAATCCAACTGATATTATTAGTGAAGTTTTACAAGTTACAATTTACTAATATCAATAAATTCCCTAATATAGAATTAGACAATTTTTTTACATAAATTAAAAACTATTTGATCGCTCTATTTGTTGAGAAATTGTTGTAACTTGTTAATTCATTAATATCAGTAACTGGTAAATTATTGTGCAACAGGATCCTAATTTAATTTTAATAGTTTTATATGCAATAATCATAATTTTTTGTTATGGAAAAAAGGTATAATTTTCGTCACCTTTTGATACTTTTATGATTTTACAGCTTCGAATAAAATTAAAAAACAAACATATAATTATAAATGCTCATATTAATATAAAAATGTGTGTATAACAATGCCACAAATAGACACTAAAAAAAATATATGTGACCCAGTCATCCGTTGTTCGAGGGTTATAAATGTTAATACTATTGCAATTGGAATATTCAAAGAAGTGTACAACGAATAGTACAATTACGAACGTGTGTCGTATTTGAAAGTTAATATTTAAAAAATATTCTGACATCTAAATATTCAAACTACATGATTATTTAATTATCTAGTTTGAATATTTCAATTATTATTAATATTAAAGAAGTTCAAGTACCTAAATCGTCGTTATTAAAGTACACTAATTATCTGAAGGAATTATCTTTTTCGAATATTCGAAGTAACTGCCGTGTGTTATGATAAATTGATTCAATTACTGTATATATTCTGACGTTAAGTATGTCTTAAATTATTATGCACATAAATATCGTAATTAATATTATTAACAATAGCAACTGCATATATGCATTTAACACTTTCTACAAAATCAAAAATATTATTCCAAAAAAAAGTTAATTCAACATTAAATGTTGAATAATTTAATTATAGTAATTGATTAAATTCTGCTAGTTGTATATTTGCAAGAAACATGTCAACAACTATTTAGATTAAATGTACATACAAATCGTAATTTCTATTGTTTATTAGCATTGAAAGCCTTATAAAATTGATTGTTAAATAAATTACCATAAACATATATATCAAATACGTGGATTTCTTAGCATTTCGAGCATACAAATGTGTTGTACGAATAAATGATCAAAAAATTGTATATAATATATTTAATGATTACTTAAAAAGCAAATGGATTAAAGTAGATTAAAAATTGCTAGTTCTAATATGTAGCACTTGAATACTCGAATTAATTTTAATATGAGCAAGCATAAATACGAGCTAAAAACTTCAATATTTATATGTACGTATTCATGTGCATATTTATTATGTATATATAATATACTAAGTACTTTACGGCTAAAAATAATTAAACTATGAAAAGAAATTACGCGAAAAAAATTACAAAAATTGCAGCTAAAATATTATAAGAAAAGATCTTCAGATCTGAGCTCAACAATACATTGCACTATAAGTAAACAATTAGAAAAATGCATTCCATTTAGTTATAATTATTTGCTACGATAAAATATCAAGTATACAATTTTAAAACATTCTTTGTTTAAAAATACTGTTTCATTTGATTCTCTATATCTCAATGTAAAAACAGTTAGAAAAATAATACCAACTGAAAATACATATTTCGCAGTAACCTTGACTTGCATTGTCTCATTGAGTCAGATCAATTTGGAAAGTGTATTGAGAATAAATTACCTCAATTCCTAAATGATTCATAAAATATATTGAGGTTAGTTTACCTCGAGGCGAGTGCACTGATATTTAGCACATGGTCTCTGACGCTGGAGCAGGTACCGTACTCAGATTCTTGTCGTTAGGATCTGAGCTTTCTGAGTCCCGGATCGGTGGCCTTGAAAGCGTTTGCTCGATCTCCCTGGTCACGCAAATTGTAGGTGGAGGCCTTCGAGACTCTTCATCGATGGCAGAAGCTCTTCGAAGTTGATGCCTGTGTTCGTTCGATATGAAGAAGGTAGCTTCATCAGTATGCAAAGGCTCCTCGTCATCTGCGATGTACCTCCTCTGTATTAAATCTTCCATCTGTTGGTAATCGCACTCCTCAGCATCACGTAGATGTTCATTCTCAATTTGCCAAGCCATCTCAGGGTTAGACATTTCTGATAAGTTTCTAGCTCTCGAAGGTGGTGGAGAAATTGGCGGTGTTCGAGGTGGACTTAGAAGGCCACAGTAGCTCTCCAGCTCATCCGTTATGCTTGTATATTCGGCATGCATGGCTAATAGGATAGACCTCTGCGTACTACTTGTTGAAGACGATGGAATGACTGCAACACGTGGCTCAGCCCACGTTACTCCTCTTGATATGTTCGATG